GAAAGAAAGAAAGAAAGAAAGAAAGAAAGAAAGAAAGAAAGAAAGAAAGAAAGAAAGAAAGAAAGAGAAAGAAAGAAAGAAAGAAAGAAAGAAAGAAAGAAAGAAAGAAAGAAAGAAAGAAAGAAAGAAAGAAAGAAAGAAAGAGAAAGAAAGAAAGAAAGAGAAAGAAAGAAAAAAGAGAGAAAGAAAGACAGGAAAAGAAAGAGACCCTACTTGCTGGGGGGCAGGGTTTGAAGTCCTGCTATCCTACTAGTTCCTGACCCGACTTCACCCCAGGCAGTTTGTTTTTAACCCTTAATTAATAAGCAGGGTTTACGTGAGCAAACACACTTACCAGGGAGCTGATTTTATTGCCTCCCCGAGGCGATCTCCTCCAGCCGTGGATCTAAGGTAGAGGGCAGCGCGCTAAGCTACCAGCTGACGCCCGGGCGACCCCCACAGGTGCACCCTCGCAGCCACATTGCTGTATGAACGGTGGCACTTGCGTGCTGGGTAGCTTCTGCGTGTGCTCTGCCCACTTCACCGGCCGTTACTGCGAGCACGACCTGAGGCACAGGTGGGTACAGAGATGAGCGGGATGGCGGGACCGGAGTGGGGCGCTCGCAGGGCGGGGGCGCGTTCACAGGGCGGGGCGCGCGCGCTGGCTGCACTGATGCGGGGTCTCGGCCTCTCAGCGAGTGCGGCGCCCTGGTGCACGGATCCTGGACCTTCCGCGGCTGCCTGCTCTGCAGGTGCGTCTTCGGGGCCCTGCACTGCCTCCCCCGTCAGACACCCGGCGGCTGCGGTAAGGGGACCCTCGTCCTGTGCTCACAATCTACACATGCATACAGTTGCTCCTTTATACACACTGATCCATAGAGATCTACCTGTGCCAGGCAACACAGAAATGAACAAACTGGATCGACTCATCGCTCAGGACAGTCACACTTATTGTGAATCATGGAAGTGTATTATCATTTTAAAATTTACAATACAGTATTATTATATACTATAGTGGCTATCCTGTACATTACATCCCCATGACTTATTTTTAGAACTGGAAGCTGTACCTTTTGACTCCATCCATTTCACGGACACCCCCTCCCCCCCTTGGCAACCACAAATCTGTTTTCTGCATATATGAGTTCCCCGTTTTTGTTTTTTGTTGTTGTTTGTTTAAGGTTCTACATATGTGACATCACATGGCATTTGTCTTTCTCTGTCTGACTTATTTAACTTAGCATAATCCCTCAAGGTCCATCTATGTTGTTAAATATGGCAAGATATCCCATTTTTTATGGCTGAATGCTTTTAAATATATGTCACATTTTCTTTATCCATTTATCCACTGAGATACACTTGTATGCTTACATATTTGGCTATTTGTAAATAATGCTGCAATGAACATGGGGATGCATATACCTTTTAGAATTAGTGATTTGGATTTCTTTGGCTAAATACCCCAGAAGTTGAATTGCTGGTTTGTACAGAAGTTATATTTTCAATTTTTTGAGGAACCTCCATACTGTTTTCCATAGTGGCTGTATCAGCTCACATTCCCACTAGCAGTACACAAGGGTTCAAGGTATGATTCTCAGCCACTGTGCCATTCTGTACTATACCTACAAGAATAATTATCAATACAAAGTAAAGAAGGTCTTTTTGATAATGTTATTTAGAACATTAAAAATTTGGCTATGCTCTAAATCCAACAACAGAATAGTAAGTAGGTGTTTTAAATTCTTTAATTGGATATTATGATTTTGAAGAGTTTATAGAAGTTAGAATGGAAAACTATGTTGACAATATAATTATAATGATGTGAAAAGAACACATATGGATGGAGGATCACAAATAGATTACAGCATACTATGAAATTGTGACCCTCTGGCTCCTCCAGGGACCTAATGCCTGAAGGATCTCCAAAGGGCCTTATTTATTCTGATGCCCTGTGGGTCCAAGAATAACAAGCTTTCTTTATCTCAAATATTATGCCTTTTCAAGGCCATGCTTTTTCATTCTGATTTAGGAGAACACTATTTGTTCCTCAATTTTCTCGTATAAAATGAGGATAACCTGCCCTCCACCCTCACACAGATATTGAAGGATAAAATGTCTGCAACATAATCTTGTTTGTTGGTGTGAGCTATTTTGTAATTTTTCTGCTTCATGACCTAAAATAATGCTTTGTGCATAATAATTCTAAATAAATGAATGTATGACCTTTGACTTCTTAGCTCCAACTACAGCTTCAAAAAATAAACACCATATAAGCCATTTCCTATTATTACATTACAGTTCAAAGAATCCATTTTTGGTGTTCTAAAAACAATATGCTTTAGACAGGTAACTATCATTCTACCATTTTCTTCATTTGCACTTGTTAACATTGCATTTAAAGAGGAAATGTGGCACAATAGAGAAAGCATGAAAAATCCCTCAAAGTACTTGTTCAAATCCCCCCAAATACTTTTTATATTTATAATCTTTATGAAAGGTTAAAGGACTTGTTTGTGCTTCAGACTCCACACATGCAAAATTAGACCTGAGTGTTTACCCACTGTTTGTTAAGATGAAAAGGCACTGTACCTGTTACATATTATGCACAACAAAGTAAACTATTGTTACTTCATTAACATCACCAAAGTATTCAAATCCATACAGTGAAGGTTAGAATTACTTTATAATCTGGCATTACTTGTAAATTTATCAAAATGTGTTTTTTAGGTTGTGAACAAAACCCACTAATACTTGGTGGACTTTAAGTTAATTAGGGTTAAAAAAGAAAGTAAGCTTTCAGCTATCAGGCAACCCCAAATCTCATTACACTGAGGGTGGTTCTTCTTACACATGAACCCAAAGAATTAAGTATTTCATTAACATCAAGAACCAGTTTAATGCTCCAAAATTTAGAGTCTAAATAATGACACAGTGAAGTAGCAAACTCAAATGCCTTCAAAGATAAACAGGAAATGCAAATGTCAAATTGCGGTCAGTACAAGCCTCACTGTCGCTTCAAACTCAATTTTTGAAAATACATTTCTGGCACAAACCAACCTACCTATCAACAAGCAAATAAACATCTGTGGGCCAGAGCCAGCCTGTGGGGCTGTGGGGCTGCAGTCTGTGGGGCTATGACCTGTGGGGAGGATGGTCCGCACAGGTCCTCGCCCCAGCCAGCACCAAGATGATGGTGTGCTGCCTGGGAGAGAGCAGACCCTTTGTCAAGCCCTCCTGGGATGTTCTCCCATGATAGCTGTTGTTCCAATGGGTGAGCTTTCTGCAAGTCATGGCAGAAGAGGAAGCCATTTGGGTCCGAGGAGCATCAGGGTGTATCTACAAATAGGAGAGTTTCAGGAATTCTGTTCTGGACCTCACATTGAAACATGATGTTATTCTCATCCAGGGTGACCAACAAACTTTAAAAATTTTTTAAAAAAAGTATGTTTTTATTGCCCTAGCCAGTTTGGCTCAGTGGTTAGAGTGTCAGCCCGCAGACTAAAGGGTCCTGGGTTCGATTCTGGCCAAGGGCATGTACCTTGGTTGCAGGTTTGATCCCTGGCCCGGGTCGGGGCTCGTGTGGAAGGCAACCAATTGAAGTGTCTCTCTCACATCGATGTTTCTCTCTCTCCCTCCCTCCCATTTTCTCTGTAAAGCAATGGAAAAAATATCCTCAGGTGAAGATTAAAAAAAATGTTTTTATTGATTTCAGAGAGAAGAAGGGAGAGGAGAGATAGAAACATAATGATGAGAGAGAGTCATTGATTGGCTGCCTCCTGCATACCCGATACTGGGGATTGAGCCTGCAACCCGGGCAGGGAATCAAACTGTGACCTCCTGGTTCACAGGTCGATTCTCAACCATTGAGCCACACTGGCTGGGCCAAACTTTTTTTTTGTGTGTGTGTGTTTTTTTTTTAAAAAAGCCAAATTTATTCATTGATTTCAGAGAAAGGAAGGGAGAGGGAGAGAAAGAGATAGAAACATCAGTGATGAGAGCGTCATCAATGATTGGCTGCCTCCTGCACACCCCTGACTGGGGATGGAGCCCACAACCCAGGCATGTGCCCTGATCAGGAATTGAACTGCGATCTCTTGGATTGTGGGTGGATGCTCAACCACTGAGCCACGCCCAGCTGGGCCCAAACTGTTTTTATTTTTTTTTAAATCTCCCACTCCACCAGTAAAAATATTTGAGCAAGCTCTCCTTTCAGTGGTAGTGACACAGTTGCCATGCTGAGCATGCACAAACTTGATTTCACTTATACCTTCCTTTTCACGTATGCACAGGCTAATGTACATGATAAAAATCTGCCAGGTCTGACTAAGTCTAAAAAAGGCCACTCGATAAGTATAAGTATCCTAGCTTATAGTGTATCATTCATCAGTAGCAGAGTTTTTTTGATATGACAAAATAATGGTGGGCTTAGAGCCATTGATTTACTAGATTCTAATATACACTGTAAATATTAAGAATTCTTTTCCTATAAATACGTAGTGGAAGTTCTGTTTTCTCTCAGCGCAAAGGGTAACCTTGGGCTCCCTGGGAGGAACATGGTGCTTACAGCCCCAGCTTCGGGACCCCTGCATGAGGGGCTGACTCGTTCTAACCTAATTCACAAAGCTGACTAAAACAATGACCTTTGAGTTTATATACAAGAAAAAACAATCAGCAGGGTCTGAATTCTCCTTCTTTGTGGGTAGCCTGTTTCCTTCTCTCAGGGGAAAATCAACTCCGAAGTTCAGTATTTGCTGACCCTTTTTTCACCTGAACAGCTTTTTATTTTATGAGCACCTGTCTTATCATCAGCCTTTCTGGAGCCTCCTCTGGGCCCAGATGTTAGGGTTCCTGTTTTGTGGGGTCTAGTACCCTGGACCATCACTTTCTCAGGTGAGGTGGTGTGGGGAAGGTGCACAGGTTTGGAGTGGGTTTGACTTTGGTCCCATCCTGAGTCTGGCCTCCTCGACTGCCCACCTGTGAGCAAGTGCAGAGTGGGACCCTTCTACAGTGGCTTGTCTTTGTAATTACTTGTACATTCTACTGTTTCATGCTCACCACAGGTTCTCACATCCTGGAGGTATCATAGAGTATGGTGCTGGGCAGCCCTGTTTGCAAAGCTGCTCCAGGGAGACGTTCCTAAAGTGGGGCCCTTCCTTAGCTGTGTGCGTTTCTGCCCAGCCGACCCCACATCCAGCCCTAGATTTGATTGTGAGAATGCTTTGGTGGAGTTGGCATCCCTGCCTGTGACTATACTTGTGGGGCTTGCCAACATCACATGGTAATTACTTGTCACAAGGGACTTTAGTCAAGGAGAGACTGACAGTTAGTTTAGACTAGGAGAGAATGACAGTTATTCCTACTCAGCACATCTGGGCTGGAGGCCCAGCCACACCGAAAGCCAGACTCATGGGCTCTTAGAGCTAAGAGTGAGACCTGCTGTGGAGGAGCCACATTGTGACAGCAGGGGAGGCGAGCACTGTGGGGTGTGGTGCCACAATGCTGTGGAGCTGTTTATTGTTACTTCCTTGTGGGATTGTTGCCATTGCTTTAGGCATGGGGACTTTCCTTCTGTTTAATAAACTGTCCCTAGTAAAAAAAAAAAAATGTTAGGACTATAGGGGAAAGTTGGACCTTCCTTGCACCAGATAGTTGCAAGCTATTTTATTGCATTGTATTTTAAATCAAATATATTTGTCCCCAGTTGCTACATGACTTGGTGTGGAACTCTGAAAGATCACCTTGGTCAGCTCATGTGCTACAGGGCCACTGCTTTGTTGCCTTTATGATAATCAGTGAATTCTTCAACAAATTTTAGGTTCCACAAAAGTTCCATTTTTTCTGACTGCAGCACAAGGAATGGAGAAGCTGAAGGCAGGCACATATTCCTTGAGCTGTGCCCCCAAGGCTGGCTTCCTCCTGCAAGTGCGGTGATCTCTGGTTGCTATGGCAGGTGCCAGGTGTGCCCATGTTGTGGACTCTGGGTTCACTCCTATCCAGCCCTGACACAGGCAAAGCCTAGTGAGGAGGCCAAAGCAGGGAAGGACCTTTATCAGATTAGGTGCAAACATCTGTTTTAGACCCTTAGAGCAAGTCTGCAACAGAGTCTCTTACACTTTCTGTTTTTGTTCTTTTCAGACCTGAAGGACTTTCTCACCTCACACTCAACTAGATTAAGCACATGGTGCCTGCTGATTTTTCTTAGCCTCCTGCCCTGCTTCCTCCTGAAATGCATCATCAATGAAGGGGAAACTGCTGCCTGGCCTGCAAGGACCTAATGCCAAATCTACACTGTCAGGACCTCAGTGTCCCTGGACTATTGAGAAAGCACGTCTTGTACATCTTCTTTAGTTTTCTGTGTTGTAAATAACATATTGTTTAATTAATTTCCTATAAACTGAAGCATTACATAAATATTTTTATTAATAAACGTTGTCATGAAAGAGCCTTTTTTGCTTCCCTAAGCCTTATTTCAAGGTACATGACTTAGTCTCACATGAGTAAACACTAGAGGCTGGGGCCTCTTCAACCCTACAGCATCTGTGATTTCAGAGTAGACAACTCCTCTCCAGCACCCCTAGCCCCTATACATAGATGCACCAGAGATGTTGTAACTTCACCTATTATAAATGCCTATATATGCAGGCAGCCTAGCATAGGCTAACTTTTATTTAGAATCCATAACTTTGCTTAGAACATCCTAGGTTTTATAAGGTTCGTGTAACCACATCCTGCAGTTTGCTAAGAGTTTAACAGAAGGAACTTAATTGGTTAAACTTCCTTCCATACCTATGCCATCCCTGACACTGACGATTGCCAGAACTATCTTTTCAGGGACAAGCCCAGAATGATTTACAGAACCAGGGGGTTGATCTGGCTGAAACTACCCAAGGCTGACCAAAGTGGCCTGGATGACTCTATACTGACCTCTTCATGAACTATTCTCATTATACCCTCATTATAATACTAAAATATCCTCCCAGGGGTAGAGATTTTCTGCCATTTTGAACATGTGATGCATGTATAGGCATGTTTTTTAACTGCACATGGGCAGGAATGTCCCCACCTATACCTGTGATGATGAAGCTCACCCCGGTGTTTATGCATGGCTTTCCTGAATAAAAATGAATCCCATCCTTTACTTGGGGACAGATGTTTTGGGGGAAGTGACAACACCCCTCCCCTCATGTGTCCTTACCTGCTGGCTATAAACTATATTCCTTCTCATGATTCTTATGAAATCTTAGAGCTGTCATTTGGTTGGTGACTACTGAGTAATTGGACCCGGTTTGGTCTGCTAACAATGCTGCAGCACCTCATGTCTTTTGTTTGTTCACTGTCAGTCTCCCCACTATCCTCTAAGTCCTTGGGGGACAGGGACAGCACCACATGTGTGTCTCCAACACTGCTGTGCTCTGTGTCTGGCAAGGAGCAGCTGCCTTAAAAGTGAAGGGAAGACTGCTGCCTCGCCTGCAAGGATCTAATGCCAAATCCACACCAGCAGGACCTTAGTGTCCCTGGAGCTATTGAGAAAGCATGTCTTATACATCTTCTTTAGTTTTCTGTGTTGTAAGTAACATATTTGTTTAATTAATTTGATTAATTAATAAACTGAAGCATTACATAAATATTTTTATTAATAAACGTTTTCATGAAAGAGCCTTTTTTGCTTCCCTAAGCCTTATTTCAAGGTACATGATTTAGCCTCACATGAGTAAACACTAGAGGCTGGGGCCTCTTCAACCCTACTTCATCTGTGATTTCAGAGTAGACTGAGCAGGTAGATCCCTCAGATAACAGTTCCTCTCCAGCACCCCTAACCCTCATACATAGATGCATCCTTCTCTCCAGTTCCCTCCACTAGTTGCTCCTTTGTAACACCCTTTTCAGGACAATTAACATTTCTCATGATTATCACCAACATCTCTTTAAAAGGGGAAACGTCTACACAACAGAGTCTATTGTAAAGGCAAAGCAGAGAGAGAATTCAACCCAAAGAGCTTATACAGCCTCTAACAAGATTCAGTCCTCTCTTGACAGCCAGACAGGCAAGACACCAAATCTGAACTCCAAACTGAAACTAAGTACCTGTAGAGAACTCAGGAAAAATAAAGGGGACTAAATGGCTGGTCTTCCCACCAATCACACTGTACTGGGAAGTCAGGATTCTTTTTTTTTTAACTTAAAATTTTTTTAATCTCAAAATCATAACTATGATGGCTTTTCCATTATTTTTAAAAATCTTTTATCTTTATTGTTGAAAGTATTACAAATGTCCCCCTTTCCCCCCTATTGATCTCCTCTACCCTGTACACCTCCCTTCCAGGCTTTCATCACACTATTGTCTGTGTTCATGGGTTATGCACATATGCATAAAAGTTCTTTGGTTAATCTCTCCCCACCCACCCACTCCCACCTTCCCTCTGAGATTCATCAGTCTGTTCCATGCTTCTATGTCTCTGGATCTCTTTTGTTCATCAGTTTATTTTGTTTATTGGATTCCACATATGAGTAAGATCATGTGGTACTTGTCTTTCTCTGACTGGCTTATTTCACTTAGTATAATCCATATCCTACCATGCTGTCTCAAAGGGTAAGGAATCCTTTGTTTTTACAGTTGCATAGTATTCCATGGTGTAAATGTCTGAGAAGATGCTTGATGTGATTTCAATCTTCTTGAACTTGTAGAGACTTGTTTTGTGTCCTAACATGTGGTCTATTTATGAGAATGTCCCATGTGCACTTGAGGAAAAATGCATATTCTGCAGCTTTGAGGTGAAATGTTCTGTAAATGTCAATTAGATTCATCTGATCTAGTGTGTCATGTAGAATCACTGTTTCCTTGCTGATTTTTTGTCTGGAAGATCTATCCAGTAAAGTCAGTGGGGTGTTAAAATCCCCTACTATGACAGTATTACTGTCTATCTCTCTCTTGAAGCCCTCCAGAATGTTCCTTTTTCAGCCTTTGTGTGAGTCTTTTGTTCTGAGGTGGGTCTCTTGTAGACAGCATATATTTGGGTCTTGTTTTCTTATCCATTCAGCTACCCTATGTCTTTTTATTGGAGCATTTAATCCATTTATATTTAAGGTTATTATTGATAGGTACTTATCTATTGCCATTTTATTTCTTTATGCCTATGTTTCTCTCTCTTTATTTCTTCTTCTTGTTACATCAGTCTCTAACATTTCTTGCAATGCTGGTTTGGTGTTGATAAAGTCCTTTAGCATTTTTTTGTGGGGGCGGAGGGAGGGTCATCTGGGAAGCTCTTTCTTTCACCATCTATTCTGAATGATAGTTTTTCTGGATAGAGTAGTCTTGGTTTCAGATCTTTGTTTTGCATTACCTTGAATACTTCATGCCATTCCCTTCTGGCCTGTAGAATTTCTGATGAGAAATGAGCTGACAGCCTTATGTGAGGTAACAGATTGCTCTTCTCTTGCTGCCTTTAAGATTCTCTCTTTGTCTTGAATATTTGACATTTTAATTATGATGTGTCTAGGTGTGGGCCTCTTTGGGTTCTTCTTGCTTGGGACTCTCTGTGCCTCCTGAACTTGTGTGACTTTTTCCTTCACCAGGTTAGGGAAATTTTTTGGCATTATTTCTTCAAACAGATTCTCTAACCCTTGCTTATTTTCTTCCCCTATGATGTGAATATTGAGAACAGCTCCCTTAAACTGTTCTCGTTTTTAATTTTTCTTTCTTTTTGGATCTCTGATTGAGTTATTTTTTCTATCCTGTCTTCTAATTTGCTGATCCAGTTCTCAGCTTCCCCTAATCTGCTGTTTATTCCTTCCAATTTTTTTTTTGAATTTCTATCTTGTCATTCTTAATTTCCTTCATAGTTTCCATTTCTTTTCTCATGCTATTAAGCATCCTTATGATCAGTATTCTGAACTCTATATCTGACAGATTGCTTATCTCCATTTCATTTAGCTCTTCTTCTGGAGAATTCTTTTATTCTTTCATTTGGGATTTGTTTTCTTTGTCTCTATTTTGGCTGCCTGTTTGGGTTTGTTTCTATTTATTAGGTAGATCTGCTGGACTCCAGGTCTTTGGAGGGTCTCTGGTGCAGGCCAGTGACAGACGCTGTTTATGACTGGCCTTGAGTACCCTGTTTGAAGTTTTCCACACTCCACAGCTTGTGGTTCCCTCTGTTAGAGCTGGGTGCATTTGGAAAGGACCAAGGTACACACCAAGGTCTACATTTCTAAGCCCTGGGTCCAGAAGCAAATCAGGCAAAGACTCAAAGCACCCAGAGGCTGATTGTTATTCAGTCTCTTAATGATCCTCAGGCTGTAGAAACTGCACAGGGTAGGTCAAGAGGTTTTCCAATGGGTGGGGCAATTGCTTCCCCCTCAGGCAAAAGCTGCTTGGATAGTAAATGTCACCTGAGAAAGATGTCCTCTGCTGTATGGGGGAATGGCTGAGCCCAAGAATCCAGATAGGTGCCCTCTGAGCTCTATTTCCTAAGCTGGCACCCTTACATCTTCTTCAAGCAGCTCTAGTCCTCTCTGCCCTCCCTTCACTGGAGCCCAAGGTGAGTGGCTGCACACAAAACTTAGTTCATTGGTCTTTTAAAAGGGTTCCTGCATTTCCAGCCATCTCTCCCTGGCAGACAGAAACCTGCTGCTTTTCACAGCCAGATGTCATATGGGTACCGTTCTCAGTACTGGTGCTCTAGGCTGGGAAACCCAACTTGGGGTTTAGACCCCAGAGTTCTCAGTGGGAACCCTGTACAGCTGAGATATCCCTCCCAAAATCAGCTGCTGCTTGTGGGAGCCCAGCCAGCCCTCTGCACTTCCTACCAGTCTCTATGTGATCTCCATTTTACATCCTTGGTTATGAGGGTGCTCTCCAGCTAGTCTTCAGTTGATTATTCAGGATGGTTTTTCTAAATTTTGGTTGTAATTCTAGTTTGGTCATGGGAGAGTTAGTGTAGCTTCTACTTAATCTGGTGGCCCTCTTGGAATCTGAAGTCAGGCGTTTCTAAACTGGATCTGTCACGTATCTTAGCTCTCTAGTTATTAGTCACAACCCTGTTTAAACAGATACCACAACTAGATTTCAGAGGAATGAAGACAAGAATATTATAAATTATTCAGGTAAACAAATAAGAGTAAAATACAAAAGAGAAAAGGACTCT